ATAAGTTGACCGGGACTGCTCTGAAGGTTATTAGCCATAGTAGGCTTGCAAGTTTGGTTGGTCTTGTGCAGAAGATCGAGTGCCAGTTTGGTTCAATGGTAAGGTTTGGAAGAGTAGTTTCTTCTTTAGCCCATCTTTTCTGGAGTATACTTGATACCGAGGTTGGTTTTGAGAAAAGCCTGTAACCGAGATTAGGGGTGTAGTCGGTTAGCGTGTGATGGCGTTCGACAAGGGATTGGGGGGTTGATGTGCTCCAGGACCATTCAGCTGGGTCCATTTCCAGGTGGCGTATTTCTGTTCCAGGCTTGTACACTCTGTTTCTGTCCCCTTCAATTACTCTGATTCTTTGGAGGTTCTTAGCTTTAAATGATCCTTCTGCTCTGATTTCCCTGGTGAGGAAACTCGACGGGTTGCCTGGTTCCTCCAGTGTAAAAATGGAGCCCAGAATCCAATCTTTGTTGTGTTGTTCATAGATGAATATTTTGAGGACCTCCTGGATTACTGCTTGTCCCTTCTGCACTGCCCAGTCACCCCAGAGCCATTTCTGGGAGGAGTTTAGTAGGAGTCTCCAATCCATTGGTATACTTTCGATGATAGTCGATATGTTGATTTGTAGATTGTGGCTGCCTTTCAGTGTTTTCCTTTGTTCCTTCTCTGTTTTCCAGGTCTTTGTGTCTTCGTTCCATAAGTGTTGGATCTGGCAAACGCCTTTTTCTAACCAATTTCCCCATCTGGTGTTAGCTTTGGTGAGTTGGAAGCTGTGCCCGTTGTGATCTAGAATCCATGGGTTGCCGAAAATCGGTTGTCTGAGGACTTCATCCTTTCTTTTGGGGACCACTTTGTTATTTGGAAAGATCTTCCTCCATTGATATATGAGTTGTTCCCAAAAGGATTTTTTGTTGTCTTGGTTCCCGTCTTCTTCTGTGTCTTGTCGGTAGTTTCTGTTTCTGTTTTCTTTGGGGAGGGGCCAGTTTGGGTTGTAGATCCAGAAGAGGCCTGTCATGTTCGGAGGGGAGTGGAAGGGTGCCAGCTCCCTAATGTGGTTGAGGGCCAACGGTATCCGTTGGAGGTTGTCTTGTAGTGTTACTCTGATGATCCATTTTATTTGGAGTGCTTGGATCTATTGTGCTGGGTCTATGACTCCTAGTCCACCTTTTCCTTTGGGTTGCATGACTATCTGCCATGCTACTTTATGGATGAAGTGTTGTTTATCAGGGTCCCCTGTCCATAGGAATGCTGCCACTCTGCGGCAGATGTGTTGTTGAAAGTCCACTGAGGGGAACCAGATCGAAGTGGCATACCACATCATTGCCAGGATTGAGTTGTTTAATGCCAAGGTACGTCCGAGTAGGGAGGTGTATGCTCCCTGCCAATTGTGCATTCTGTTGGTCATTGAAGTCATCAAGGAATGGGCTGATATTGTGTGGCAGCCTTTTGAGCTGATGTTCATTCCTAAGAAGCGGATGGGAGATATAGGGTCTGGCCATTGTAGTCCTTCCGGGGATAATTCTATTGGGGGGGGGGAATCTGTAAGCCACCAGCCGACCGTTTTTGACCAGTTGACTTTCATTTCCGAAGCCAATTGAAAAGCTTGCATTGCCCTCGTCAGTGCTTGGAAGGAGGAGTTTGAGGCTCTGATTAGGACTGTTAGATCGTCAGCGAAGAGGAGGGTGGTTGGTAAGTTGAGGGTTTGACCTCTTTCATCTCTAATGTTTTGTAGACGTTCTATTGAGATGTCTTTTCTCAAGAAAGCTGCAATGGCTTCCATGACAAAGAAAAAAATAGGGGCTGCTAAGGGGATCTTCTTCTTCTTCTTAGTCTCGCCCTCCATCTCTTCTTCCTCCTTCCTTCTTCTTCGTCGTCGTCTTCTTCTTCTTTCAGACACACACACACACACACACAGAGACACACACACACACACACACACACACACACACACACACACAGAGAGAGAGAGAGAGAGAGACACACAGAGAGAGAGAGAGAGAGAGAGAGAGAGAGAGAGAGAGAGAGAGGTGTTACAGGCAGAGGTTACGTCGGGCCATAAGGTCCAGGATCTGATTCGACATTTTGTAGCAGACATTGATTGGACTTCGCTATTGCGATCTTGGTCCTCTCCCTCACCTCCATCTTCGTCTGGCGTCTCCCCCATCTCCTCCTCCGTGGTATCTCCCCATGTGTGTGCTGAAGGAGGAACCTTTCTTCCATGTGTGTGGTCCCTTCCCACTGTCTCACATGTGTGGTGTATGATGGGGTGTCGCGTCAGTATCTGACAGGTCAGGTCATATCTTTGAGTCTTCCGTTGTGCTACATTATGCTATTTTCGTATGTATCAGTCCATTCGAGTCCTTTTCATCACTTTGCGGATCGTTGGCTCCGTATACATCACTCGATTGAGCATGTATCAGTAGTCTGGACTCGTAAATGGTTGGAAGCTTCCCTTGTCCCAGGGCCGTCTGTTTTCAAATGCTTTCTGAGTTCCTGGGCTCCCGTTGGGTTCTGCATGATCTTTTGGCGAGACTTTTAATTGACTGATGGATGGATAGATGTGCAATCAAGCTCAACTTATTCACACTTTGTCATGCATGCAAACAGCGATACAGCAATTGGCGACATGCGCCCACACAGTACTTAAAGATATCGTGACCAGATAAGAGTTCTCTTCCAACTGGCTATGGCGACTGTGCGCCCACACAACTCACTGTTYGCACTCTGGATCACCCTGGATGTCCCACACGCAACACTCTGCACTTACACGCGACACACGCACATGCACTACCACAGCTATGGCAGCGCTAGCTGCCACTACCCTATCGCTGCACTACACCTCTCTGCCCACTTCGTCTTTGGGCACACTGCAGACCTCCTCGCACAAGCTGCTGAGGAAGCGCTTCCGCATGGCATCCGCAGGAATGAATGAATGGCTGGACGCAGCCTCTTGATTTATACTTCTGTGCTGCGTTGGTCTGCCCCATACCCCTTGGCCCACGATGTGCACACAGTCCCAGATGGTACTTGCTGGACAGGACCGGACTGACTAACTGGGACTATTGACTCAGCAAAGTGGTCTACCACCACTTGACCACTTGCCTCTGTTGAATGAAGGCCAACTCCGAAAGGCCACTTCTAGAAGTGTCTAACTTGGCCTTTCGGTACTGTAGCAGCTACGACTTTGCCCTTTCAGGTAAGTAGCAGCTACGACCTTGACTCCTCAGGCAGCCTACARCTACGACTTCGGAACTGTCTAGACTCCTACTCTATAGGTCTACAGYTCGATTCCCTTCTACCCTGTGACCTACGACAATTTGCCTRCCACTGGCGTTCCTACAGGTCGYAGGTTCAAGTCTACAAGTTGACACTGATACTGTACACAGGTAAGACGGGGATCTAGGGATCGAGCCCTGGGATCTGCATTCGCTACCGCGAACTGGTGAATACCGTTTCACTCCCGCCGGCCTAAATTCGAGGTCCTCCGAGAAAATTTCAGTCCAAGGCAGGACCTTTCCCCTTTTGCTGGCTCTCGTAGGCTCGGACTATATCGGGAGCTATCTCTAAAAGTTCAGACCTTGTAAACCAGCGGTCGTCTTCTGGTTCCTGATAACTAAAATGAACCTTATACTGTTTCTGCGGGCGACCCCTACCTCCGGTTCTGAAGATATCTTCAGCCACTGTACCATCTATGTCATATCTTCCATCCATATCCGGTGGGATCATCGATCTACGGGATGGAAACTGATCACTTGTTTGACAAGGTAGTAACTTCGATGCGTGGAAAACTGGGTAAGTGTGGAGGTGTGCTGGTAACTCTCTGGTGTAGGACGGTCCATCTTCGCCGCCCTTGACTTCCAGAACAGGCCACGGTCCCCTATATGTGGGCAGTAACTTCTGCGAGATGTTCTCCTCAGGTGCAAACTCTTTAGAACTAACCCAGACTAAGTCGCCTACCTGAAACTGTGAAGGGCGACGATGTTTGTTCGCTTGCTCTATCATCCTATGCTGGGCTTTCCTGAGGTTCTCTACGACAGTAGCTAGTTCTTTCTTGTGCTGTACAGCAAACTCCCTGGTCCCGGGCGGCAATCTATAAATCTGATCCCGGTTGAGCCCCTCAAACGGTCTGCGTGGTCGAAAGGACTTGTGCAGTTTGTTGGGAGTGCGGCATGTAGACAAATGCACGCTGTTATTGTACGCACTAGCTACTTTGGGCAACATCTCATCCCAGTTAATCTGATCCGGCCTAATATACATGCGCAAAACTTGCTGTAGGATCTTGTTCATTTGCTCTGTCTGGCCGTTAGTCTCTGGATGACGGCCGGACGACATCAATAACTTAGACCCATATACTCCCATGAGTTCTTGCCAGTTCTGGCTAGTGAAGCGACTATCTCTATCGCTAACTATTGACAGCGGGATTCCATTCTCACTAACCCAACAGTCAAAGAATCTCTGTATGACTAAATCAGTGCGTGCCTCTGAAGGCAAAGGAACAAAAACTGCGTATTAACTAAATTGGTCAACTATGACCATGACTTGGCTCTTGCCATGGCTGCTCTTGACTTGAGTGTCCATGAAGTCGATGGACACTAAGTCCCCCGGCTGGTCCGGAATGGGCAAGGGTCTGAGAAGACCTAGTGGGGCGCGCGTAGAACTCTTGTTACGCTGGCAAACCTTACAACTGCGAACATACTCTACGCAGTCATTCTTCATCCTTGGCAAGGTATATGCGCGCATTAGGTTGGCTAAAGTCTTCTGCCAACCAAAATGACCCTCTGTGTCGTGGCATTCTCCCAAGATCAGACTACGGATCTCTTCGCTATTGGGAATGCACAACCGGTCAAAGACATTGGTCTTCTCAAATAGTAACCCTTCAGTAGTGCGGTAGTTCGGCTCAGTCTCTGGGGCCTCTTTGACTTTCTTAAGGAGGTCACTATAGATAGGATCCTGCGCGTACGCTTCTTTAACCCTCTGCTGCAGGTCCTTCCCTATATCAAGATAATGCACTATCGTCCCAAAGTAATCAGCCCTTCTACTCAGAGCATCCGTGACTACGTTGTACTTCCCTTGACAGGCTTGAGCTCGAAGTCGTACTGATCTATCTCTGTGGCCCACCTAGTAAGCTTAGGTGTCATCTTGGCCTGCGTCTTTAACCATCGTAACGTTTCATGGTCAGAATAGACTTTGAAGTGCCTCCCAAGCAAGTAGTGCTTCCAGTGGTCTAACGCTTGCCTGAGAGCGTAGAGTTCCCTCTCATAGGTAGATGTCGCGACCTTCTCTGAAGGCATCCTGGCGGACATGAACTCTACGGGTCTATACCCATTGCCATCGTCTTGCTGCAACACCGCGCCTATGCCGTACTGGCTAGCATCCGTAGTGACGACAAAAGGCAAGGACGGATCGACTACCTTAAGGACCGGTACTCTATCAACGCCTGCTTCAACTTTTTCATGGCAGACGTGCAGTCCTTGTCCCACTTCCAGATGGTCTCCTTCCTGAGTAATCTGCGAAGGGGCGCAGCGATAGTGGAGAAGTTCCTCACGAACTTCCGGTAGTAATTAGCTAAGCCCAGGAACGAGCGCAACTCTGTCAGCGTACGTGGCGTGGGCCAATCTCTAATCGCTGCGATCTTGCTATCCTCTGGCTTAACGCCGTCTCCGTCTAGGACGTGGCCTAGGTACAAAACTTGGGTCTTCGCCCAATCGCACTTCTTTGCATTGATCTTGAAGTTAGCTTCCCTCAGCTTCTC